TCAGAATTCATTCCACAAGTTAGGAAGAGACAAATGGCCTCAATCGACCATCATGACGGCTTTTACCCTCTCCTCTTCCCGCCTTCCTCCTTCCCGTTTCTGTGCTTTCATTTGGCAAAGACTATTTGATTTTCAATTTCACTTGTATCGCTTTTTTTCCTCTTCCTCCTTCTTCATCTGATGATTTATACGCGTTGAGGCTAGTCCATTGAGCCATTGAAGCTCGGTCATTTGTCAGGCAGTCAAAGAGGCGGAACACATGACACATAACAACAACAACAACAGCAACAGCAAAAAATGGGAAAGAGAATGAGGGCAATTCTATTCGGTGCCGTTATGATGGCAGTGTTGGCCAGCCTTGCAAGGCTTCTGCGTTTTGATTTATTGTTGTTAGAGCGTTACCGCTGCCCGCTTTTTCTCACTTAGGCTACAGTGAACCCACAACCAAGCCAACTTAATTTGCTTCTTAACGTTTTTGATTGATAATATTTACCAATGTGTGTGTATTTACTACGTTAGCGATAACGCTAAAGAATAACTAAAAATTACAATGCCGCGCTAACAAGAATCAGCACAAGACCAAGAAATGCACAGTGCAGCTACAACAGTTGCAGGTGATGCTGATGATGACGATGTTCTTTGAAGTACTCTTAATTCCACGCAACCCCGTTGAGTGAACATTGCTTATAGTGCAAACACCCATTTTTGCTCATTTGCGAACCTAGCAACCTCCCCTTCTGTTGCTGCTGCCGCTGTCGCTGCTGCCGTTGCCGCCGCCGCCGCTCGCCACTTAACCGCATTCTCTCTCTCCCTCTTTCGCCCTCCACTCTTTGGCCTCTCTCAACCACAACCTCTCTGACCAGTACCTCCTCTTTGCCTCCTCTCCAATCTTAATCCTAGACCTTGATGGCGGAGCAGTGCCGCTCTTCTTGTGTCACATGCTTCAGAAGGACTTTCAGCATCCGCCCTTTCTGGCTTTCTCTCCGGCATTTCGCAATACCATTGAATTTCCGACGATGTCCACAGGTTCGAAATACTAACCACAAACACACACACACTCTAGCTCAAACTGCTGCTGCTACTCTTGCCCACTGCTGCACAACAGCTCTTTGCTCATTCTCTCTATCCTCTTTAATCTCTTTCAACTCCAACTCCTCTGTTTGTGTCATATCACACTTTTACTACACCTCACTATCATTGCAATTGTGTGCTCTTTATATCTTTATATCTTTATCTTGTCAAGTTTTTCACCGAGCACATAGTATTTTCAGTTAACTGCTCTGCATTGCATTTTTTCAAGCGCTAATGATCTAGTGATGCTAGTGTAGTGGTGCAGTTAGAATTGGCAATGCCAGTCTGTGCATGCAGTTTTCACCAGTGTGTGTGTGTGCTTTTGTCTAGTTGAAGCTTTGCTATTGCACAGTTAAAGTTTTAGGGTGTTTTGGAAAAACATTGAATTTATATTATCAAGCGCTGATTTTTCAATTAGAAACTCGATCAAGGATTGAATAGTGAGCATTTTTACTACAACTTGAATTACTTGAAGCATAGTCATTGAAACATAGAAGCCCAGTCCTTGCATGAGACACTTTCATCATTTGTTCTTCATCATGTTTGTCCACCTTAGTTTACCTGTTTGTTTGTCATCTTTTCATCTGCATCATCCTCTTCTAGNCAACTCCAACTCCTCTGTTTGTGTCAAATCACACTTTTATCACACCTCACTATCATTGCAATTATGTGCTCTTTATATCTTTATCTTGTCAAATTTTTCACAGAGCACACAGTTTTTTCTGTTAGCTGCTCTGCATTGCATTTTTCAGGAGCTAATGATCTAGTGATGCGAGTGTAGTGGTGCAATTAGAATTGGCAATGCCAGTCTGTGCATGCAGTTTTTTTCCAGTGTGTGTGCTTTTGTCTACTTTGCTATTGCACAGTGAAAGTTTAAAGATGTTTTTTAGAGCAATGTTGAGTTTATTTAGGCGCTGTTTTTCAGTTAGAAACTCGATCAAAGATAAAAAGTTAGCATTTTTAGCACATCTTATATTTTTTTAAGCATAGTCATTGATCATAGTCCAGCCCTTGCATGAAACACTTTCCTCATCATTTGTTCCTCATCATGTCTGCCCAAATTATGTCATCGTAGTTTACCTGTTTGTTTGTCATCTTTTCATCTGCATCATCCTCTTCTAGATCATTGCCTGTCATTTTCTGCACAAACTTAGCTTTTACATTATCACCTTTCCGCTCCTCTATGTGACACTACCAAACAAACTCTTCTTCCATTTCATTCAACAAAGTGCGTTGTTACGAACAGACGACTAACGCTTTAACTCTTGCTTGGCCACTTTCTCCTTTCTTCCCTTCTTCTCGTTTTCTACTGATTCTGAAGAGGCAAACCAGCCCTCTGGCACTCGTCGAAGTAGCCTAATCTGTGCGGGGTCCTTTTTTCCCTTCACAATGCCTGCCGCCAATCGAAGGGGCGACAGCCCTGACGGATCCACTTTTGGTAAGCAATGTCCCCTTCTCTCTTTCTCCTTCTGGCATCATGTCCTCTGCCACCACCAAAAAGCCATCACCACTACCTCCACCACCTCTTTTCACGGACTTTCAGCATCCACCATCCATCCGACTATCCTGACCAAATCATATTTGCCTACATGAGCCTGTCCACCAAAGTCCAAGGAGGTCCAATTCCAAGCACACAGTCCATTCCTCAAACTGCCTTCCTCAAAGTCCAATCCATTCATTCCGCCTGTTTCAATGTGACCCGAATGTGGTCTGACGCTCCTGTTTCATTTGTGTCCAAATTCGTCCCAGAAAATGCATTTTGTCTCCAAGTGCTATGCTTTCCATTGCATTCTCTCTATCTCTCATTTTTCCCTAATCCACCCACAATCTTTTCCTTTCTTTTACCTTTTCTCTCGGCTTGTATGTCTCTATGTATCTCATTCATCCTTGTCCTTTTTAATCATTCCGGTCCTGTGTTTATCCTCTTTCTCTCCTTGTGTGTGTCTACCTGTGTCCTTTTCCTGTCTGCCTTCACCTTCTGTCGGGCTAATGTAACTTGACAATGCTTCGCTTAAAACGCTTTTTCTTCTCTTTTGTTAGCTTACTAAGGTTTTTGTGTATTGGATTTAGGTGATTACAGTTGCAAAAGGATAAAGTGACAACTGTTAGCCTAAACTAATATGAAAAGAAGGTCTTTGCAAAAGGTTTCTTTCTAAATCAGTGTTGCTTATGCACACACTTTTTCCTGATCTCACTTAACTCTTTTGTTTGCTCTCAGCTGCACCAAATGCTGCCGCTGTTGCTCTGTGTTGCGTCATTGGTTCTTCTACTTTCTATCTTCTACCATTCTCAGTCACATTACCTGCACAAACTCTTTCATTAGTCAAAGTTCTTTCTCTTTTGATTGTTCCTCTCTTACTATTTTTGCAATTCATGTTTGCTTTCTCTTTTTGTGTGTATTTCTCTTTTTTAAACGTGATTTTGTAGTAACTGTTCACTTCTAATAATTATTTTTTGCATTTTGATTATCTAGATGAAGAAGCAGATGAGCCTCGGTTGACAGTGCTCACTAAGCAGCACAAAAATGCCATTCGTTCATTGAGAAAGGTACTTGTCATTTGAGTTATGGGACACTAGAATGAAAATACATTTTCTTTGTAGATCAAGTATTTTGTGGCAAGAAGAAAATTTAAAGAAGCACTGAAACCGTACGATGTAAAGGACGTCATTGAGCAGTACAGTGCTGGACATGTTGATCTGTTGGCCAGGGTGAAAAATGTTCAAGCGAGGTTGGTCGTTGAGATGCACTTGTATTTACAACATTCTAACATTTTTCAAACACTTAGGCTTGACATGATTTTGGGAAAAGTGGGCTCAAAGGCAAAGGACGTCTACGAGTCAAAGATCAGTCTCGCTTCTCGAATCGTCAAAGTAGAACGCTCTGTGGAAGACATTGAAACAAAAATGGACAACATGCTGGAGATGTTCATTGAAGATCGGGCACGCATGCAGAACATGCTTCGTCTTCTCTCGCCCAACTTTGCTCAGCAACAGTCGTACAGCAATCAACCACCGCCGAGTAGTGGCTCGGGACCGGCGATGGGGCCACAGCCGCCGCCTCATGGTGGAGGACAGCATCACCATCATCACCACCATCACCACCACCACCATCCTGGAGGAGGGGGAGGAGGAGGAACTGGTGGTGGAGGTAGTGGTGGTCCAGGGGGCGGAAATGGTCGCGGACCTGGTGGCCCAGGTGGCGGCACCACCGGTCTCGGATCCGGTCCTGGACCTCCTCCCTCGACGACAGCAGCAATTGCATCCACCTCAACGGCCTCAATTCCCCTCACTGCCACAACATCGACCGCCTCGTACGTCGGTGCCCCTCACTCCGGCGCTGGCTACTACCAGCCGAAGTGTGCATATCAGCCATTGCAATCCTCCTCCTCCTCGCAGTCGCATCCTTATCAGCCGCAACACCCTCACCACCACCATCACCACCACTCGGCCATTGACCAGTCGGCCAGTCCACCGCCATCACTTCCGCCTCCCCCGCCTAGTACACCGATTGTCGCCTGCATTGAATCGGCTATTGCCGCCGCTGCTGCCGACATTGACTCTGCAGCTAGGCAGCAGTTCTGCAAGAACCACTCTACCTCGTCCACTTCCTCCAGCCCACCAGCAGCACCAGCAGCAACAACAACGGCTGATGCCGATCCGACTCCCACTGCAGGAAGTATGTCAACCTCCCGAACTGAGTACTGTCTTCGCTGTATTGAGTCAGATGCCGCCTCACTGATTGATCAGCAGACTTCTACCGTCTTCGGTGGGAGTGGCTGCCAACAGGAAAGCCTGGTGGGCCAACGTAGCGGTGGCGGCGGCGACAGTACTGCAGTTGACACTACTGCTGCTGTCAAGCATCCGATAGCACGTAATCTAAGCAAGGTTCGTTGTTCTTGGATGTACCTCACTGCTCTGAACACATACGTCTTGTCCAATTGTCTCTTCCGTTGTCTCCTTTCCTCCTTTTGCAACCAAATGTTTTTTCTCTATTATTTTTCTCGTTTTTGTCTTCTCTTTTTCCCTTATCCCTCGTTTCCTCTTCGGTCCTGACATTTGAATGTTGACGTTCAGTTTGCATTGCGTCCAAGAACCGACCCCTTGTTTGCTTGCTTCTAACACTACCGAGTTGTTTGTTCTGTTTGGTCTGATTGCATGTCTGCAGGACGGAAACAAAAGTTTGTTGCCTTTTCTTAACAAAAACAAACTTGTTCAGTCCTAGCATCCGTTTTTCTCTCCTTGATGTTCGTTAATGCTAACGTTGTTTTCCCCTACCACCCAAACAGGCGATGCACCGGGGCAACTCTGACCTGAGTCAGCGTCTGCTGAAGCGCAAAGTCTCCATCCGCCACTCGCTGGACACCTCTGTTGCTCAATCTCGTGGCCTTAATCCGGTCGCCTACTGCGGCCCTGCTGGCGCTGCCAGTGCGGCGAACAGCAGTGAACAGAACAACAACAACAATGGCGGCGTCGGCGGCACCGTCAATCCCTACTTTCGCTCTATTCTCAGCTCAAAGCGATCTGCGGGCAGTGAGACGAACATTGGCTCTATCACGCTGGCCACTGCCACCGGCTCAACGCCTGCCATCAAACTGGAGGTGCCAGAGTTTGGCTGATGATTTGCCATCATAATCATTTACTAACTTTCCTTTACTTTTCACCCTTTCAGGCCGACTTCAACGCCATCCTCGAGGACTCGCACCGTCGTCAGCACGACTTTTTTGGCAGCCCGTACGGCAGCCACCGCCAACGGCCAAAGCTGTCGCAGCACAGTGATCCGAGCCGAAGCTTCAACTCTGCGTCCAGTTTTGACTCGGAGGCGGATGAGAGCTTCGAGTGCTGCACCACCTCGGCGGGCAATCTCAGCAATTTGGACNTAGCCACCGCCAGCGGCCGAAGCTGTCGCAGCACAGTGATCCGAGCGGAAGCTTCAACTCTGCGTCCAGTTTTGACTCGGAGGCGGATGAGAGCTTCGAGTGCTGCACCACCTCGGCGGGCAATCTCAGCAATTTGGACCATTCAGTGTACGCCAGTGAGATTGCCGCCGCCATGGGAATCGGTGGACACTTTCCCCGAAATGCTGGTGATGGCGGTAGTCAGAGTTACCACCACTCAGAGACGGAAAGCGGCCCCGGCTCTGGACTGCAGACGCAGTTTGGCAGTCTGGTCGACAGTCAGGAGTTTCTCGCAGACATTGAGTACATTGACGATCAAGAGGAGGCGGAGCAGGAGCAGGAAGAAGGGGAGGAACAGTCAGAAGATGTTCAGCTTGATAATGAGGCGGACTACCAAGAGTACGAGTACATGGTGGACCCAGTTCTGCCGCGAATTGTGCCCTCGTACCACGTCAGCCCCAGCGCCAGCACAACGACCGAATACGATGTCAATGAGAGCACCGATTACTCCAGTGGGCAGTTTCTGCTGGTGCCGGGTGGCAGTGCTGGTGCCGGTGATGTCGATCGGGATGGCGGCGATTCGGACTGTGACTTTAGCACACAAACGGTCATTAGAGTACCGCTTTCTGGCTCCACTACGGCTACTGCTGCTCTTTCTGCTACTTCTGCAACCTCCTCACCTGCCGCCCCAGCTCGACTGCTCAATGAAAACCGATCAGATGACACTGACAGCGACAACAGCAATGATTCGGACATTCTCGAAGATTTGAGTTTTGCAGATGATCCAGCGGTTGCAGCAGCAGCTTCAAATGGCAGCGATTACAAGCAGCTCATTAGCAGTGGAGCAAGGCGGAAAAGTAGTAGCAGTGGGTGTCGAAGAGAATCAACATCGAGTTCAGCAAAACTGGCTGATCCATTACAATTAAGTGCCATTAGCTACTCTACCGGAGAGCGGCGACAATCATCAATGGCTACAATTGGCATCGGTGAACACCATCATCATCCGCAGCAGCAGCATCAACAGCAGTTTTCTCCTTCAGGTCAGACGCCCACATCAGAAGACCTGCTGAGGGTTGGCACCAAGCCGCTAGCCAACAGTAGGTCGTACAGTTCCATTGTCAGCTCAAATACCACAGAGGGAAAGCTGTTGCCGACATCTGCTGGAAACCATCACCACCACCAGCACCGAGGCTCACATCAGCCACTTTGCTCAATATCACCACAATCATCATCCCTTCTGTTGGAAGGTGGCGGAAGCAAGGACAATCTGGCATCCACGCAGTCCATCTTTAGCCTCATTCGCTCAGAGAATGTTGATCAAAGCCAGGCTGGTGATCAGTACTGGAAGCAGCCGCACCCACGGTCCTTCTCCACCTCGCCACTGTCGTACGCAGCAGAACGTGCCAGCTATCAGTACATGTCACCCTTTGGCAGTGGTCAAGTGGCTACCACTCCCCTCAGCAGTCACCTTCTGACCAATCAACAGCAACAACAGCAGCATCACCAGCACTTTCACCACCACAGCCCCTCCTCATCACAGCACCTCGCGCCTCAGCTACAGGCCAGTGGAAGCAAACCAGCCAAAGTAGTCAGCCAAAGCGAGGACTTGCCCAGTGTCCTGGATCACTCCCCATGCCAATCATCAGGTAAGGCCATCACCTCAACAAGCACCACCACTGACCAAGAATCACTGATCACCAACTCCACCAAAGCTGTAGTCGGCGATAATTCCATTGCTAATCGCCGACCGAATACTTCAGTGAGCATCAGCATTGCCGATCCTCATCATCTTCACCTCTCATCACCGGCCAGCAATCTGCCTCAGCTACAATTTACCAGCATCACCTCAGCCACCCCATCCTCATCTTTATCACCATTGGCCACTACCATCAGCACTCCCACCTCCAGCGCGATCACCACCACCACCACCTTCAGCCACACAACCTTCTAGGAATTTTCACACAATTTTCGCTCTTTTCGCATCACTTCATTTCATTGTTTATCGTTGATTTTTACAACTTTTTGATGTACTATACTACTTTTGCATTATGTTTGAAGTTTTTTCGCTCGCTTTTTGGCACACTTTTCATTTGCTTTTTTTGTTCCAGCCTTTTTTCTTTTCAACAATAGCAACAACAACAACAAATTAATTTGGCTGCTCTACAACAGCACATCTCGTCGCCTGATCATCATTTTTAACATTACATGCCAACAAACAAACTACCCACCAATCAAACACACACCTACACCCTCACTGAACTAGCAGTAATCAGCTACTGATGACAACTGAATACACACAGCTAACTTTTCAGCAAGGGCAACCACTCTAGTCAGAAATCAACCAAAAAGCAAAAAATCTCTGGACACACCTAAACTGAGCTTCCCCCAATCTAGTTTTCTAAACATACACACACAACCACATAGACAGTCAGTGTTATCAAGAATGTACGGTGCGCAATGTTCACTGGTAACCTTTTAGGACACTTGGAATGTTAAGTCCTAAACTACCGGCATCATCACTGCTTACATTCAGGATTCATTGGTTTGTCTCCAATGCCTCTTTCTCTCCCCTATTTGCACTCATCATTTTTCTTCATCAACTTGGATTTCTTTTTGAATTTGTTTGTGCGCTCGATTTGTGTAACATTTCAGTCTCGCTTGTCACCACGGTAGACACACACACACACACACACACACGACCAAATGGACTTTTTGTACTGCACCTTTTTGAAAGATGTAACTCTCTAATTTACCGTTGTTTTGAAGTGGACAGTTTGTTTATGAGTGTACCATACCAAACTGAGCGCTCTTGATTCTTTCCTTTTTCTGTGCCCTATTTTGCTTCACAACACACACCCCCAAACACCCACTCTGATCTTTACCTGAATTGTNGACCAAATGGACTTTTTGTACTGCACCTTTTTGAAAGATCTTATAACATTCTGTTTCGTTCTTCATAATCACTTTTCTATTTTCCTTGCAGATTCTCTATTCTGTCGCTACCACCTGTGTAACTCTCTAATTTACCGTTGTTTTGAAGTGAACAGTTTGTTTATGAGTGTACCATACCAAACTGAGCGCTCTTGATTCTTTTCTTTTTCTGTGCCCTATTTTGCTTCACAACACACACCCCCAAACACCCACTCTGATCTTTACCTGAATTGTACATCACTGTATGTTTTTCTCTATTTTGTACATACTCTTTTTTTGCTGACCATTTTTGTTGTTGTTGATGTTGTTTTACCTAATGATTTTTTTCAATAAAAGTGCTTTTACTGTTATGAGAAGTGTTTTGTGAAATACATAGTTGAATATAGGACAAACAAATAATTCAGAAGTTTACAGATGTATTTTTATTCATTAGAATAGTTGTGTTTCAGCTCCATAGATGTCGCCCCAGCTGTTTCACGTGACAAAAGAGGGTTCCCCCTTTTGGCTGCATCGGTGATCTGCCTGCCGTTGAATGAGCATCAAAGGTGACTCTACAACCCAGTCTGAATGCATACCCGGTGATGGAGTAAACAAAGTACACCACCGTAGTAGACATTCACCGGTGGATTGTGATGCTGTTTAGTTGTTGTTCACTGTCAGTAGTAGTGTCCTGGCTTGTCCTGTCCTTTGCATTGGCTCCAGTCCGCTGCTCCAACGATGTGATGTACCTGTCTGTGTGTGCTGTAGGTAGGTAGGTGGAGAAAAGAAGTGGAGAGATTGTCGCGCTAATCTGTTCAGTGCTGCTGCCATTACCATTTCACCTCGTCATTCAAGGCAAAGACACACTCCATTTATATCACACTAATGTAGATCAAATGCAAGAGGCGAGTGTGGTTACCTATGTATGTGTGTGTGCCTTTCTCGGAAGGAGCAATTCTCTCCATTCATGCAAAAACGAAAGCAACTTTGTTATCATTCTCTCCCTTTTGCATTCTCACTGCTGCCGGCGCTAACCTTTGTTGGAAGACCATTGCCAACTGGTTCGTTAGACTGACAAGCTGCTGACGAGACCTGTGCACACTCTTTCGCCCACCATCGCCGCCACAATCACCTTTGTCACCACTGTTTGTGTGTGCACGACAAATGTGTCTGTGACTTGAATTGAAGATTGGATAAAGCTAAAATTGGGCGCCATTCATCAAGTGCCATTGAAGATGCTGACCACTAAGCTGCTGCACTTCATTGAAAAAGCTACACTTTTGGTGCACAGAATCAGCCGATGCCGGCATTTGTAATCTACTGCAGAATCTGCCATAAACTGACTCAACCGATAAATTCTTCAGATTTCTCATCATCCAAAGCTAATGCTGATCATTCGCCTAAGCTGAAAATGATCGCCGAACGTTAAACATTTTTTACTGCATTTCTGCTTTGCTAGCCACTGGTCGCTGATGCCGCCGCCATCACTGCCGCCGCCGCGCCTCAAGTTCATCGCCAACTTTTCTTCTGCTCAATCCAAACTGCAAAAACCAATTGTAACTCATAGCTCTGATATGTTCGTCGTGACAGCTGCTAGCCACCTTCAGAAGCACCTCTTTTTGCCCGTGAGCAGTGTGTTTCGCCGCGGATGCTGAGCACTGGTCAGAACTGCTGTCTGGAGCAGTGACACGTACGTCCGTCTGCCGCATCATCATCATCATCATCGCAGATTCTATGCTTCATCCCTCAGCCCTACTCACAACTCGATTCACTGCCGTTGCTGTTTCAATGCTGTTTCAGCACACACAAAC